ATTTTTAAAAATTCGAGAGTTCTTTCTATTTTTGCTTTCTTACCAGACCATCTTGTATTTTTCCTCTTCTTGTTTTGGCCCTCCCGCCCCCAGCCCTACTGTGTTCGCTGAACACCTAAGGTTAAACACTGGGACTGTTTCCCCTCCTGAGTGTCTTTTCGTGTGCTCTCTGCTGCCTTCCTGCTATTCCAGTGTGTGCATGTGGAGGGGACAGGAATGGGGATGCAGTTGCACAGTGTTCCTCCCCGGAGAGGGCAGAGCAAGCCCATCCGGAGATGGCGCACACATTTCCACAGACCTCCTCTCACACCCCTTTTCATTTGTTCTTTTAACAACCCCAAGGGTGTTATTGATGCAAATTGCGTGTTAGAGTTTTCATCTTGTGCTTTCTGTGTGCTCACCATCCAGAAAACTAAGCAGAACAACTGAATGACCTAAAAACAGGTCCCCAGAATTCTTGATGTGGGTTTTGATAGCACTGCCTTCCGCTTTATCGGTATCCTGAAAAGAGGGGAAGATGGTATTCTGTAATCATGTCCACATGCTCCAGGCTTGATTGATTATCAGGGCCAATCTTAGATGTTACACAATCCCCAGCTACTTTGATCTGCTCTGTCCCAGTCAGTATACCCAGCTGGATAAATAACATTAGTCCAAGCACAGCTCTCTGGACAAATGTTAAAAATTGATAATGTCCTACATTTTCTGGAAGCACAGGTGCTTCAGATCAATAGGGCTAACCTTGTGGAGACAATTAACACTAAGCCTTTTTATAAGACAAAGAGGTTTTTTGTTTACAGGTTCAGATTTGGGAGGAAAAAGTAATTTTCTTGGAGCTAAAAATGTTTCCTTTAGAACTAATGGATTATTAACATTGACTGTTGTTTTTTGAACTGAAAAAAAAAGAGAAAAAAATAAAACCAACCAAAACCAAAGTAATAAAACCTACACTATTATCATTAGCTTATTACAGTAGTTAACTTCTTTTTTTTTGTTTGCTTGTTTGTTTGTTTTTTTGAGACAGAGTTTCGCTCTTGTTACCCAGGCTGGAGTGCAATGGCGCGATCTCGGCTCACCGCAACCTCCGCCTCCTGGGTTAAGGCAATTCTCCTGCCTCAACCTCCTGAGTAGCTGGGATTACAGGCACGCACCACCGTGTCCAGCTAATTTTTTTGTATTTTTAGTAGAGACGGGGTTTCACCATGTTGACCAGGATGGTCTCGATCTCTTGACCTCATGATCCACCCGCCTCCGCCTCCCAAAGTGCTGGGATTACAGGCCTGAGCCACCGTGCCCGGCCTACAGTAGTTAACTTCTTGCTTATGAGTTTTTCAAAGATGACTCCCCTGGAAGCTTCAGATAAATTTATTATTATTAAACAAATATTGCTCCCATTTTCTCTTTATTAGAACATACCTCATAGAATAGGAGGCTCTTACTAGAATATGTTTTGCCACTTAGACATGTTTATGATTAAATAGACAACCTCCTACTTGGGTTCATGTGTACAAGTTTGTCAAGATTCCACTCTACGTGGCATGGATATTCTCTACACAAAGTCTCAAAAAAAGATATTCTTCTGCAAACCTATAGGTGAATATCAAAAGACTCTTTCCAGCTCTTCTCCAGTTGAGAGAGGCAATGTAGAAGCAAGTCTCATTATTTTGGTGAAGACTTAAAGCGGATCCTTAATCCGCTGGGGCCTCAGCTTCCTTCTGTCTAAAATAGGAAGTTCAACTAAGGTCTAACTCTAATAATCTGTGTACCAATTAGAACAGTGATTACGAAAGAGATTCTGCAGTCAGACGGCCCAACTTTCAAACACTAGTTCTATCACCGTAGCTAGATATTGTTGGGCAAAACAGTTTACCTTTTGGAGCCTCAATTTCCTCATCTGTAAAATGGTTATAATAACAGCACCTACCTTTAAAGGTTGTAATCAACATTATATGAGATAATTACATGGAACACTTAGCATAGGGGTTGGTTTATAATAGATGTTAGATTAATCTTAACTTTCATTAGTAGAGGACACATTATTGTAATAAAGTTTACTTATATGTGGTTTCCACTCTGTTGTCACTAAATTGATCATTAGAAAAAAGAGAGAGAGACAGTGTCTTGCTCTGTCGCCAAGGCTGAAGTGCGGTGGCACAATCATAGCTAGCTGCAGCCTCAACCTCTTGGGTTCAAGCAATCCTCCCACTTCAGCCTCCCAAGTAGCTGGGATTACAGACACATGCCACCGTGCCAAGCTAATTTTTTAAAAGTTTTATAAAGATGAGTTCTCACTGTGTTGTCTGGGCTGGTCTTGAACTCTTGGGCTTAGGGTGATCCTTCACCCTTAGCCTCCCAAAGTCCTGAGATTACAGGCATGAGCCACTATGCCCAGCTTGATCAATTTTTATAAGAATGGATGACTCAGACAAATATGGTTATAAATTCAGGAGTTGCAATTGTTAATATGTCATCAATATTCCTGTTCCTGGTGTTTTTGATGCCAAGTAATAAGTAGGTATGTTGTATCCTCTGTGGATGGCTTCTCGTGCCACAGTGCTGGTCAGAACCAATAGATGCCCCTGGAAATATGTTTCTTTTCCTGAATGAGCCAGGCCCAACCCCCAAAAGGCTTACAACTAATGATTGTTGACAAATAATGGTAGCGAATTACAGGGATATATACTTTCTAGGAGTGTGTGTATGTTGGGGGGTATGTTCTGTTTCCCAGACTATCATATTCCTAAAAATATCATGGCTAATCCCAATCAAACCACAGCAGCAGAGCCCTTTGTGATGGAGAAAAATGATGACAATGGGGGAGGTGAAAGAAGAGAAGTGAGGTTCATGGTGTTGATCAGGAAAGGGGAAGGCCTGGTTTCTAGTCATATACCTAAGCTAGCTGGGTACATGTGGGCAAGTTGTTGAGCCTCGGTTTTCTCATCTGTAAAATCAGAATAATACCTGCTCAGTCCTCACAGGACCCAAATGAGGTCACATGCACGTAGGGACTGTGCACTGTCATACAGCATTTCATAAATGCAAAGGACTCATTAAAAGGTCACACAAGACCAAAGAAATACGGAAATAAGTCCATGGAAGTAAAAGCTTCCCTGAAACATTTTCCTTTGAATGTATTTGAAATTGACAACTTCCTATTCTGATTGTCCTTGTCTGAAGTGTTCATCTAACTAATTGCTACTTCACACAAGCAACCGTTTTCACCTGGAAAGTAAGGACTTCGGAATCCCCTGCCCATATGTTAGACCCAGGCACTCCCTATGGGCCAAGCAGATCTGAAACAATCATTTGCTTCTGTCTCCTTCCATTAGAATAGAAGCTCCTAGAAGGCAAGGACATTGCCTATCTAGTTAACCAGTACCTGGTACAGAATACTCAACAAATGTTGTTGAATAAAAGAATGCACTAGGCCAGGCATGGTGGCTCACACTTTGGGAGGCTGAGGCGGGCGGATCACCTGAGGTCAGGAGTTTGAGACCAGCCTGGCCAACATGGTGAAACCCTGTCTCTACTAAAAATATAAAAGTTTCTGGGCGTGGTGGCATGCACCTGTAATTCCAGCTACTCAGGAGGTTGAGGAAGGAGAATAGCTTGAACCTGGAGGCAGAGGTGTCTGTGAGTCGAGATCACACCACTGCACTCCAGCCTGGGTGACAAGAGTAAGACTCTGTCTAAGAAAAAAAAAAAAAACACTGAAATTGCTTCCCCTATCAGGATACTGGAGTTGCAACTGCAGCAAAAACAAACAAATAATAAAAGATGAAGAGCAGGAGATGAGAGAAGAGGAAGCAGGGGAGGAGGGGAATTGGGAAAGAGGGAGGGGGAGGAGGAGGAGGAAAGGAAGTGGACATAATTTCAACAGGTGGAGGGCTCTGCTAAATGATTCAGCAACATCATCTCCTACACATCCCTCCCCTACTCCCTCCTACCTCCTAAACTCCATGGGGAGATGGCTAGTTTTGCTGATAGGATACTTTTCAAACCAAAGCTGAAAATAACTTCGAAGCAAGGTGGCATCCTAGGGATACAAAGTGCCATGCCTAGGACGTGCTGCTTTTTTGGTAAAATAAAATACAGTTTGGCCCTTTTCGTTGCTGACATGAGGAAACAGTGGTTCCAGCTGACTTTAAAACTGCTGCCTAAATGAATGAACGAGGATCTTCTGGGAAATGTAGGCTCCTAATGGAGGGTTGTGATTTGAAAAGTTCCCACGCAGTGATTTTTTTTAAAGGCAGCGGCTGCTTCTCCACCATAATCTGTTATATAATTACTGTGTAACTTTGTCACTGCCTCTTACAAGACAGATTGAAACTTACCCACCTAGACCAGCATGACTGACACTTTTCTAGAATCTGTGGGGCTCGTTGGGTTTGCATTAGAAGAATTGGGGAATCTGGTGATCTCAACCAAACTAGTTGCAAGAAAAATGGACTAAGGGTCTCCTTTTCCTTCCCAGGCCTGTGCGGCCCTCACTCTGTAAGGGATGTCATAAAGCCAACCTTTGAGAGAAGAGTGTCTTCAGAAAAATTGAGTTTGGTGGCTTAGTAAATGTTTGACCCAAATGACTCCTCCCCTACTCTTGACCTTTGGCATTGCATATTGGAGCCTGAAGCATCTGAGGAGGTATTTTCATCAGAATTCTGTGATGAGGTTAACAGAAGCTGCCTCTGGATAGCTTAAGCAAGTGAATGAATTTATCAGAAGGATATGGAGTAGCTCACAGAAGGAGAGGCTGAAGAATCTGTTTTATTCAAGGACAAGAGAAGCTCTAGGAATTCAGGTTTTGTGAATAATGCAGTTTCCTTAGTTTCATTGCCTCCAGGGTAAATGATTTCCAACCATTCTCAGTTTTTGTGTCACTGCTCTCCACACTGAAATTCCAGGTCAAGAGTATCTGATAGGCCTACCTTCAGTCAGGGATCCAACCTCCCTTTGGCCAGGATAAGGGAAGGTATTGTGATTGATGGTTGTTTCTCCTATAGGGGAAAACTGGGTCCTCAAGAAAAAAATCAAGGCTGTCTCTCCTCAGGATGTTGTGGCGCCGTGGCTTCCCTTTGGCAGGGGAAGATGTGACGCTGAGCTAAAGAGAGGCGTGGAGGTGGGTTATACTATTTTTAGTTCACTATCTTCCAGTTCGACCTCATATCTTCTCTCTCCTCCAAACTATGAATTAGCATAACAGGCATTTCCACACCAGGATAGCATATGCTCATTCTCCTCAGGAACAATCTGGAATGTGTGAGCAGTTTAGAATTTTAGAGAAGGGGAAAAAATGAGTAAAAGGAGTGCTATTGGAGATGAGAGGAGTGGGTTTCTTGCCCTCCTTTTGAGGTGTTGAATTGGTTTAAGTTCTCCCAGAACAACACATTTTTGATATAATTTGATAGAAACTCCATCATATTTCCATTGTAATACCTTGAATTTTCTGTTTGTAACTTTTTTAATGAGAAAACAAAGACACAGTAATAGCCAATAACTAAAAACTCCGTTTTCTAAATTTTATCTCTCTAAATTTTACCCCAATATTTTATCCAAATGCAATCCTAGAGTAGAACAAACAATACTCATTAGAGAAGAAATTTAATTAAATATTATGCCTGTGCTGGTTCTAGTTTGGCAAATATCTAATTTTATTGTTTTAGAAAATATATGGGTTTGTTTCTCCCTTAAGCCCAGTTGTTACATTTTTTTAAACTTTGTTGTATTTTATATCATCAGTAAAAAGTTAATACTTGACTTTGATTCATGTTAGAGCAACTGGGTATGTTCATTCTACCTTTTTCTCTTTTTCCTTTCAGTTCAAACTACCTATGCTAACGCTGCAAATTTTCCTCATGCCCCATTGCTATAAGCCACAAAAGCAGAATGGAGCTGACATTCACAGGACACCTGTCAAATGCCAAGCATTATAACAAGTGTCTTTGCATATATTATTTCATTTACACTTGTAGTATCTTCCTTGGACTTGTGTGTAACCACAGACCCGGAGAGGTTAAGAAAAAGTATCCAGGGTCACACAGCCATGAAGATACTTGAAGTGTTCATATTGGAACTCTGTCTGATGTCAAAGCACATTCCTTTTATTATATTGCCAAATAAGGTAGATATCAGTTCATCCACAACTACTAAGCACTCCAGGAACAAATGCATTTTAGTCTGACGGCTAAAATGGGGCTATAGGAGATGGACAAAAGGAAGCAGACTGTGAGGTCTTGTGTCTGACATATGGTCTCTTGGCTCTCTCTGCCCTTGCAGGAGTACCCAGAGGCTTGGTGGACTCAGAAGGTGGCTTGCTGCTGAGGTCGGAGTTGAGCCGTTCTAGCTCAGGAAGCAGGATCACTGAGGGGTGCAGCTGGGGGACCATAAAGTAGTTTTGGAAGCATATAGACTAGACCAAACACAGTTTTCATTTATGGGAACACTGATTTACTCTTTGATACAATGAGTACTTATTGTATGTGTCCATGATAGGCCAGGCATACAAAGATGAATAAGACATGGTTCTTCCTCCAGGGACTTCAATGTCTATTGAGGAAGAGAGATTAATTAACAAGCCATTGGAGTAAATACCATAAACTATATTTGCCACTGCACTTAGATGACCCTTCTATAATCAACATATCATAGGAAGATGTTGATTTTTGACAACTCAGTAACCGTTCCACCTTGATTTCCCTTTGAAGGATTCTGCTGAGTTGTTAAATCTAGATTCCCTGACCCCTTACTCACCAAGAAACAGCCACCTGACCCAAGCCGGAACAACGCTTACTCCCTGGAGTGAAGAAAGAAGGTGGAAAGATGGAGAAATGGTGGAAGAGCATTCATTCTGGGCAGGGCATTGACAACACTGTTGAATATTCTAGCCCTACCCATCCCTACCGGGCCCATTTTTACCAATTTCTGAGACTTCTGGTCCATCCTGAGAGCAGACAGAAATCCTCCCAGTAAATCCCACCATTAAACAATGAACAGACAACAAACATTGCTTTGGTGAGATACGGGGAGTTGAAGACTGAAAGCAGGGAGACCAGTTAGTGGCCATTGCAATAAACCAGATGAGTATGGCAAGAGACTGAACTCCATGACTGGAGAGATGGGTGAAGGGAAGACAGATTCCAGAATCAGAAGAGACAGAGCTAGCTGGGACTTGGTGACTACTGGATGGAGAAAGCCAGGAATATAGAAGAGTAAGATGAAACAAAACAGGGCAGCTTAGCTCCCCTCATTTCCTTTTTGTTGGTCTAGAAGTTACGTTCTCACTTGGCCTTGATTTTGGCAGCATTTTCTTTCTTGCTAAGGCTAATTTCATATACCTGTACCTTCCCAGCCCTGAGAGGTACACGTCGCTTCCTCCTAAAAAATTATCTCCATTATCTAGGAAACTTGGCAGGGATACCAAATCCTCTTTTCATCTTGTGTCCTAGAGCCCAGGATATATGTTCAAGTAGATTCTTGGAAATAGTCCTGGATAGTGCATAGTACTCTAACATCAACAAGCACACTTGAATGATGACAGTGTGTCACAGGATGCTTACTAAGTTTGTGATTGCATTTACATGATCAACTACGTGACCACAGCCCACGCAGTTCACACAACCTCACCACACCTTCCCTATAGGGATTCTCAGTGTGTTCTGTGCTATCAGCTCTGCTACGGAGTAAAGGTGCTCAAGTACTTGTGGTAATGTGGAAAGAATTCAGTAGCACTTGAGCATGCAGAGCTGGACCTGATGGACTGCGCTCTTTACTCAAAAGGCACACACAGGGCACAGGCAGACAGCAACCTCTATGAGTCAGAGCCCACTTGGCCTACTTGTCCTTTGCACCATGTCTTTTGAACTAATAAATACAGTAATACCCATAACTGCAATGTTTTATCTGAAGGAAAATAAGCCAGTAGCAAAGTTGTGCAAGACACTGAACAAGCATCTATAAGAACCAAGGACTCCACTCTCTCTAGGAAGCCCTAAACTCTGAATTTGGGGAGCTCACCTTTGAGATAGAAAAAATTGTTAATTGATAATGGCTTTTGTTGAGTCTTTCTCTAGTTTCTCATGCTAGGAGATATTTTGGAACATGGGTACTTAAAAATATATTTTAACAAACAAATTAGTAATACTAGAATATTTCCTGGGTGATCTTTTGAAGGATTAAAGAAAGGTATTGATATGTTCTGGCTGGGAGTGTTGGCTCACACCTGTAATCCCAGCACTTTGGGAGACTGAGGCAGGTGGATCATGAGGTCAGCAGATTGAGACTATTCTGGCTAACAAGGTGAAACTCCATCTCTACTAAAAATACAAAAAAGTAGCTGGGTGTGGTGGCATGCACCTGTCATCCCAGCTACTTGGGAGGCTGAGGCTGGAGAATCGCTTGAACCCAGGAGGTAGAGGTTGCAGTGGGCCAAGATCGCAACACTGCACTCCAGCTTGGGTAACAGAGAGACTCCATCTCAAAAAAAAAAAGGTATTGATATGTTCTGATAGCTTTTGGAATCCCTGAATTTTAAAAATCATGTGATTGAATAATCCCATTAGGTAGGGTTGTGCAAGTAAACCATATGCTATGGACAGTCAGGCTGTAAAGGAAATCTTTTTTTTTTTTTTCCTGAGATGGAGTCTCACTCTGTCACCCAGGCTGGTGTGCAATGGTGTGATCTTGGTTCACTGTAACCTCCACCTCCTGGGTTCAGCTGACTCTCCTGTCTCAGCCTCCTGGGATGACAGGCACACACCACTATGCCTGGCTAATTTTTTGTATTTTCAGCAGAGATGGGGATTCACCATGTTCCCCAGGTGAGTCTCAAGCTCCTGAGCTCAGGCAATCCACGTGCCTGGGCCTCCGGAATTGTTAGGATTACAGGCCTGAGCCGCCGTGCCCGGCCAGGAAATCTTAACATATAATAGATGGAGAAACAAAAAGGGCTCATAATTTATCCTCTCACTTTTTGCTAGGTGATTAGATAACTGTATATGTTACAGCTTGATCACCTGTATTTTATTTCAAGTAAATTTTCTTCAGTTTCTTTGCCAGCAAACTATACTGGATAGAAGTGCCTCAAAATCAATTTATCCTGCTTCACCAGTTTTATGCATTTTAGATTTAAGGAAACAACAATTAGAATATTTTCAATGATGAAAAGAGCTCCATTAAGCTGCCACAAATGTCAAAAGTTCCTGGCTATGCTAACACTTATGTAATTGTTCTGGAAACCCCACGCACCGGAATAGACCTACAACACCAGGCATGACTCACTGAATATTTCTAAGCACACACTCTCTCTAAAATGATCTCCAGTTGGGATTTACTTTTTCAAAGAAAAAAAAAAAAGACAAAATATGGTACATCGAATCCCAAAGTTTTTTCTGTGATTTTTTTTTTTTTTTTTTTTTTTGGAAAAATACTGTTGCCTCACACAAGAGCATTAGAAGATGCTGCTGTTTTCATTAATAAAGCAACCAGATGGGTAAGCATTAAAACAGGATGAAACTTTGAAATTCTTCCTAAATAAAAAATAACATAGAGAATGTGTGGGTTCTCAAATTTCCAAATGGTCTTCATTGCCTCTTATGATTTTATTTCCAAGTTTGTTTTTTAAAACTCGTGACTAGCAGTATATGACTAGTGTCCTAATCCCCTCAGCAATGTTAAGGAAAATTACACATGCCATAAAATGCTAATAAGCACAAGAAGGCTTGGGACCACATCACCAAGGCTCATTTGTAGCATATACGCCATTAGCTTTTCCTAAATATCTTCTGTAAGTCCAAATGCTTGGGAGAAATTTACCAAAGTATATGGCATAACCTGCATCCCCAAAGGCTGATGTTAGATGCTACTTTCAATACCAAAGTAATGCATTTTTCTTTTTCTGAGACTGGGTGTCATTCTATCGCCCATGGTGGAGTGCAGTGGTACGTTTTAGGCTCACTGCAACCTCCACCTCCCAGATTCAAGTGATTCTCATGCCTCAGCCTCCCAGGTAGCTGGAATTACAGGTCCCCGACACCATGCCTGGCTAATTTTTGTATTTTTATTAGAGACATGGTTTCACCATGTTGGTCAAGCTGGTCTCGAACTCCTTCCTAACCTCAGGTGATCTACCCACCTCGGCCTCCCAAAGGGCTGGGATTACAGGTGTGAGCCATCGCACCCAGCCGTGCATTTTTCACTAGCAATATTCAGAATGGGGTTTAGGAATGCAATCAATAGTGAGCCAAACCAGAAGTGGCAAGGCAGTTCTGCCAGGCAGTGAAACAGGTCCTAGATGGGAATTTGCATCTAGGCAGTAACAGGGGATCTCAGTTGGTTGTCATCAGTCTATTTCCATCTGCAAAAAGGCAAAGAGGGCAAATCCAGCAAGCAATAACCATAAGTAGACCAAGCAGCCTGGAGTGGGGCCCCGAGGCCAGGGAGGGGACTGAAGTTCTGGGAGGGACTGAGGTTCTGGGGAGGACAGATAAGAAAAGGCAAAATTCCAGTTACAGAGAAACTTTGAGGCAGAATGTCAAAGAAAAAAGCAAGGCAAAAGCCCAGTTATTTGAATCGGAATACAAGGTAGAGCCTGTGACAGGAATCAAGGGGCAACTTCACAGCTAGAAATAGAGCAGGAGCTCAGAACAGAACCCAGAGCCTGGCTGACCTGATATTGAGTGACATGAGCTACTTACATTTCCTCTAAGAGCAGACTTGGGCCCAGCACCTGGGTAGGGCTGAGCTGCAGGTGACTTTCTGTGGCCCCCACTGGGAATTGAACCTAAATTCAGGGGAAGTTACCAGGCAGATGGCTAACACCACTCACACCAAAGTCCTCCTGGCTTCAAACCCGTTTTTGTTGTTTTTCTACATAACTTTATCCCTTTTGGCAAGCTGTTCTTGTTATCTAGAATTCTCAAGCCCAAACTCCTCAGGCTGCTCATTCTTCAAGATCACGTTCAAAAGCATCTTTTCTGGGCAGCACATCCTGGTTCCTCTGGGTTCCAGGAATGCTTTACACATGTCTCCATATGTATACTATGCCTTGTCTTGTCCTGCTTTAGTTCCGGTTTCTCTCCTTGCCTAGTCTTTACCCTTCTTGCCCAACAAGCTTCAGCATCTCTTGAGCCCAGCATAGTGTCAGTATAGAATAGGACTTTGATAAATGTTGATGATAAATAAATGAATGAAGTAACTGAGTAAACAAATGCTTAAGTGAAAAATCATTTATTGAAAATTCATTTACTAAATGAAAAGCCATCAATCAATAAACAGGTTAATCAATACCGTAGATTGAACATGGAATACAAAATAGTAACAGTAGCCAACATGTATGTATCACTAACTGTCCCAGGCCCTGTGCTCAATCCTTTACATAGATTCTCTTCTTTCATCTTCACAACCCAAGAGGTGAATGCTATTTTAACACCCATTTTACAGATGAGACAATACTAGCAACATATTAGAATCTTTAAGAACTCTGTCTGATCTGGGATTTGTTGGCTCTACTCAGCAATAAGATTCCTCACTTCTGGGGTCTTTCACTTGCCACAAGGGATACAGTGGCTGTTAAGGGCTGTAAGGATGCTATCAGACTTCACTTATGGCCCATTCAATCCTATTGCCAGGTCCCATGCAATATTTGCCTTTTCCCTCCTGATGGGAGAGGCCACATTAGAATGGGCCAGAGGCCTCTTCATTCTCCTTAGAGCTCTTTACCTGCTAGCCTCAGGGTGTGGGATGTAGTAGAAACTGAAGTGAAATTATAAGGAATATGTGTATTCACCTGATATTTGCCTATCTACCTCTTTCCAAAGACCACACAAAGTACTTCATGTATATTATCCTCCAATCCTTATTCTACCCTGTGAGGAAGTGTCTTTATCACCTAACTCCAGAGGTTTAGCAACTTGCCTAATGTCCCAGAAGCTGAAAGCAGAGCCAGGATTTGAACTGAGTCCCATCTGGCTCCAGCTTGATGCAATTGAACAAACACCCACCAAGCACCTCCTTGTGGACATACACAGGCCTTTCCCACACAGTATATTGCCACCAGCACCCCTTAGTGTTGAGGACATGGCCATAATCATCTTCTCTGTTGTTCAGGATCTCCTTTAAAAGCATGATTTTAATGGCAGCTTTTTGGTCTGCTTATTGGAAAAAGTCACAAAGATCCCATTCATTGGTGTAAAACCTTTGGTTTCACTTTTAGTGACAGACGCTACATAGGATGCTGAATAAAATGCACAGAGGCTCCAGTTGGAAAATCCAGAATCCTCCTGACTTCCGCTGTGGTCTTTCTCTTTAGCAACTCATATGCTCATGTTTACATGTGGCCATTTTTGTTGACCTGTTCATGAAGGACGATAAACTGTGAAATGATGCACCAGCCGGACAGAGACGGACGGGCCCAGAGTCCACACCCTGTGCTGTTTGCTTTGTGAAATTACACTGTTTAGTCTGCTCTATCTCATTCTAATAACTCCAGATTCCACTTTTCTTAATGACTTTCCCCTCCTTAAATGCCTACAGAGTTATCTTTGAAGAAGGGGAAAAAGAATAGATGAATCATTTGCAGGAAACGGGGGGAGAGACATGTGGTTGGAACGGCAGATGGCTGAGCGTGTGGGCACATAGCTGTCTCTGTTGTTCCTTCCACCACCCTGTGGAAATGAGTCCTTTGGAAGTGTACATTCATTCCAAGGTGGGGGCTGTGCCCACTTTCAGGTACTAACACGTGAATCCACATCCGCTCAGAGTCATCTTAGACATCCAAACTCCAGGCTTAAACCCAGACTGGACTATATATTCTCTCCTTGAAGTTTTGTCATTAGACCTTCTAAAGATAAAGTGATAAACTACTTTCAGTTAGTGGCAGCAGAATTTGTCATGCTGTCTCCCTTCTCCTGCAGGATATGAAGTATCTGAATATTCTTCATGTGCCATAGTGCAAGCTGCCTGACCTCAGAAGGGACTAGCAAATGCCTAGAGGGAAGAGAGAGGAGGGAGAATGTACATTCAGATAAAAATATGGGTTAAGCAGGTAAACACTGACTGTTCATGCTGCGGCTTTTTTGTGGTGAGGGCGTGGAAAGGACATAAAGATACTACAACCTCAGGGACAAGCGCTCATGTGTAGCTCCTCAGTTAACTTCCTGCTCATTATATGGAGATGATACTAACTCTGGTCATTTCACTTAAATAACTGAAGTAAGTTTCTAGACACCAAGAGTACATAAAGTTTGAGACTGACTTTTTCAGAAGGCTTCATTTAGCCCTTCTGTTACTTCTATGCAAATTTCCAAATGTCATCTGGATGTATATGCTAGAATAACCATTTGTTATTATTTTATTTTTAGATGTATGACGTTGTTTTATCAAGACTCTCTTTCATTGAGTTTTTGTTCCTACTTCCATCACCACCATCTTCCCCCCTTCCCTTAGACCTATACCACAGCACATGCATGTGCAGAAAGATTAGAATTTGTCATTATTTTCCTTAGTGCAATAGGTGTTTTGGTAAAATGTGCATCTACAAGTTGAGATTCGTGTTTTAGCACATATTATTCTACATCACTTGGAAACAAAGCCTTGTGGTTAAGAGCATTTTTTATTAATGAACACTTGTTAAAAATCAACTTTGATAATAAACATCATCTGATTAAGCATGAGTAAGGGCAGTCCAGAAATGGATCTGAGTAATCATAAAGATATTTCAGCAATCATAAATCTTGTTAATAATAGAATTTTCACCTCCATATCTATTATGATTTGGTGACTCTTTTACTGAAAGTCATTCATATTAGTCTCCACCAAAGCGCTAATTATTCATGGATTTCCTAAAAGACTTGAAAATTATTCTTTACATTTTTACGTCATGACTATACCAGAACCATTTTTGTGTCTCTCAAGATTCCCCAGCCTCACCTGACCCCCACGCCTTAGCCTTTTCTTGAATGGACATCTGGGAGCCTGCTGTGTTAGCCTCCTGGGGAAGAAGCTGGGGCTTTGGGAAGATCACATCTCACCCGTTGCAACAGGAACCTCAGTGGCTCCAGGACATGGAGCTCACCTGATTGGACTCTGTGCCTCATACTTTATGGCTGCTCTCCTCCCACCTCTTCCAGGCAGTTTAGTGGGATGTGGAATCTGGCTTACCCAACAGCTCCCTTAAGTTGCTGAGTTAAAATTTGAATCAAGGGATAAGAGGTCAAAATGATAAATTCCTTTTTCTCCCCCTCATTGCTCCTCCCACCACCCTCCCACCTGATGAAAGGTGATACGCAGGACCCAGCAACCGGCTTTGTTCTTTGTGAAGTTATGTCCAGTTCCTTAACACATCATCTAGTATTTGCATTCCTTCCTTTCCTGCCTCACCTTTTTCTCCCTCCCTTTTATGTCCCTGAAATTGCACCACCCAACAAAATAGACTTAGCAAGTAATCTTTGCCTCAGGTTTTATTTTCTAGAGAATTTGGCAAAGGAAATGAATTTTTAAAAATCTCAAGTTATATCTTCAATTTGGCCAAAAAATTTGGCCTAAACTCTATTTTCTTCTAAATAAGGGAGTTCCATAATCCCCTTAAGATTAATAAGAGTTGCTCCAATGAAATATTCATGGGTTGAGAACATGTTCTGTAAACCTCATCTAACTTTCTTGTGAATTTAACCTCACCACAATATGATTGGATGCTAGCAGTTATATTTCTCGATTGGTTGCTTCTGCCCAGTTTGGTATGGTAGCTTTTCCTATATACACATCCTACAGGTATTTGCAAACCTACTTCCTGATCTCCACCTTGTTATTGTTGTTGCTATCCTCATCATCTGTGAGTCCTTACCACCCATTTTATTTTCAGTGAATTCCAGATATATACCTGAGATAAAGCCAGTTTAAATAAATATTCAATATACCTTTGATTCAGGATATTCTATTGTATGTAAAATATGTATCTTTTAATCAGCAGCTAAAGAATATCAGCTGCCAAAACAATATGGTATTTGGGGATTGCAAACAGGCACATTAAACCATTCCCATTCTGATAAAGAAAGAAGCAAGGGACTTTTCCACTTCTTTATTTAATAAGCAAGATAATAAGGTAATAGTTCCCCCTCCCCCCTTCTCCCTCTCCTTCTCCTTCTCCTCTTTCTCCTTCTCCTTCTCCTCCTCCTCCTTCTTCTTCAAAACAGGGTTGGCTGGGTGTGATGGCTCATGCCTGTAATCCCACCACTTTGGTAGGCCAAGGCAGGTGGATCACTTGAAGTCAGGATTTTGAGACCAGCCTGGCCAACATGGTGAAACCCCCGTCTCTACTAAAAATATAAAAATTAACCAGGCATGGTGGTGGGCATCTGTAATTCCAGCTACTTGGGAGGCTGGGGCATGAGAATTGCTTGAACCCAGGAGGCAGAGGTTGCAGTGAGCCAAGGTTGCACCTGCCCTCCAGTCTGGGTGACAGAGTGAGACCGTGTCTCAAAAAAAAAAAAAAAGAGAGACACGGTCTCACTCTGTCTCCTAGGCTAGAGCACAGTGACCTGATAATAGCTCACTGTAACCTCAAACTCCTGAGCTCAAGTGATCCTCCCACTTCAGCCTCCTGAGTAGCTAGGAATTACAGGTGCCTGTGACATCTGGCTATTTTTTTATTTTTTATTTTTGTAGAGATGGGGTCTCACTATGTTGCCCAGGCTGGTCTTGAACCCTGAGTGTCAAGTGATCCTTCCACCCTGGCCTCCCAAAGCACTGGGATTACAGGTGTGAGCCACTGTGCCAGGCCCAGGCAAGATAGTATCTTCCTGTGGAGGGGTTGGGATAAGGATAAAGGATTTTGAATATTTAATAGTATCACTCTCTCCTCTACTCATGCAGAAGGCAGGGACTGTGGTGCTAGATAAGTATATGAAGGCTGTTATTTAATGAGTTAAAATTTATCAGAGAGTGGCTGGGCGTAGTGGCCCACACTTGTAATCCCAGGCCTTTGGTTGGCCGAGGTGGGCAGATAACCTGAGGTCGGGAGTTTGAGATGATCCTGACCAACGTGGAAAAACCCCATCTCTACTAAAAATACAAAATTAGATGGGTGTGGTGGCAAATGCCGGTAATCCCAGCTACTCGGGAGGCTGAGGCAGGAGAATCACTTGAACCCAGGAGGGAGAAGTTGCCGTGAGCCAAATTCACGCCATTTTACTCCAGCCTAAGCAATAAGAGTGAAACTTCATCTCAAAAATGTAAAAAATAAGTAAATAATTATCAGAGAGTTTGCATGGATAATTTATTGCTAAAACAGAGCTTAAGAAAAGCGACTCTCCTGGGATTAAAATAAAACAAGTAAAACCCAGGACTCTTTGACCCTAACTGGGCCTAAGGAATCTGGACAGTTCCCATTACAACTTGAGATTAAAACTGAGGTGAGAAGGAAAAGTCAGGCATCAGTGAGTTACGTTTCAAAACGTGCTTTAGGATTAAGTGGCTCTACTTAAGTTCATTTAGCTAGTGAACTCAAATACCATATCAATCATGAGTCCAAATTTTTTTTTAATTTGGACTCATGATTGACAAATTGTATTTGAGTTCACTAGCTAAAATGAACTTGACATTATAGTTGCAAAATAAGGTATAAAAATAAAAAAAAGATCAACAGTCTACTCAAAAAATGAGTAAAGGATATGAATAGACAGTTCACAGAAAAGGAAATTCAAACAGCCTTTAAACATTAAGAAATATGCTCAAATTGACTTTTAGTAAGAGAAATGCAAATTAAAGTTACCAATATGCATTTCTCAGAGTGGCAAAGGTTTGAGAACACATGTGTCAGCTGAAGTATGGAGAAATACATTACTGGTGAGAATGCAAATTAGTACAATCTCTGAAAGGGACATTTCGGCAATAGTCATCAAAATTATAAATTCATATAGTCTTACCAAACAATTCCATATTTAAGAATTTATTTTACAGATATATTCACACACAAGCTGGATGAATGTATAAAACATAATCATTGCAGTCATTGCTTGCAATAGCAAAAAGATTATGAACAACCTCAATATTTATCAATAGGATGGCTGACTAAATAAATTATGCTATGTCCATGCAATAGAATACCATGTAGTCATTAAAAATGAGTCTGCTACAATTGTGTAACAATAATAAATGCATATCCTTGTACATGCATAGACTCCCCCTGAGAAGATACACGAAATGCTAGTTTAAAGTGGTTAGCACTAGGGAGAGGAACTGGGTGGCTAGGAGAGACTGACTTACTCTAAGCCGTATTCTTCCTTTTATATTTTGTTCCATGCGCAGTTGTCACCTGTCCAAAAATAAATCAACAATGGCTTTTTTTTTTTTTTTTTGAGACGGAGTCTCGCTCTGTCCCCCAGGCTGGAGTGAAGTGGTGCAATCTTGGCTCACTGCAACCTCCGCCTCTTGGATTCAAACAATTCTCCTGCCTCAGCCTCCCAAGTAGCTGGGACTACAGACACATGCCACCACGCCGGGCTAATTTTTTGTATTTTTAGTAGAGGTGGGGTTTCACTGTGTTAGCCAGGATGGTCTCGATCTCTTGACCTAGTGATCCACCTGCCTCGGCCTCCCAAAGTGCCAGGATTACAGGCGTGAGCCACTAAACCCAGCCAACAATGGCTTATTTTTTAAGAGAAGAAAAAAAAACCAGAACAATATGTGCAGACATTTTAAAAGGGGCGTTCATCTAATTTGTGAGTAAACTATGCTGTGTAGTTCCAAGTCACTTGGCAACAGCACAGACTTTTTAAAATATATGCAAATAAGTTACCTTTAAAGACTAAATCAGAAATTAGAATCATCAAATGGCTGCCCACATTACTTTATTAATAAATGAATAAATCTTCATTCGTTTCCCTTTATAACTGACTCTTGTCAGCGTAGCCATGGTTTGTTTCTAGTTGTTTTCCTTGAGCTCTTTGCAGTAAAGGAATCTAACAAGTAAACGAAAGAGTGCATGCAAAAGCAGGCTGTGATGTTGTGAGATTTAAACTGTCCTTAAAATAAGAACTAATTTGTGTAAGGATTTAAAAGCCTTATTCTTCTGTACTTTTTAATCTCCTAATTGCTTTGTGACAAATTTTGCCAGTACGTTTTCCAAGAAACGCATGTTAAGAGTAAACGAATGAATCAGAATAATTTACTGTACTAGAGAAAACATTTCCATTTGAAAGAGCCAATCATTCATTACTTACGTAAATGTACTTTAGAAAGGAGCATATATTATCTTCTCCTTATGTATTCCTGACATGTCTCTTATTATATCATTCAATAACCATTTGGTTTTCATATAAAATGAAGTACTTAGGGTTTCCTTATTGTAAGTTCAAATCATCCCATTCCACTTGGAAGGACTCCATGTCACTGAACACCACCATCCTTTTGAATCTTGAAAGCTGATACTGTTCTAAAAAAGCACTGAATGCTACCCTCATAACTTCTTCATTAGGTCACAGTCCTACCTGTCAGTTTCTTGAGGGTAGTGTCCCTACATGATTTATCTTTTTATCCCTCGGAATATCTTATACCAACTCAGCACATATAGAGAGCATGGATTTTTTTTAAGGTAGAAAACACAGTCATTTTGGCAAAACTTAAAGCAGTTTCCATCTGTCACCCTGTGATAGATATCAGTGATGCTTTTCCAAAAACAGGAAAGAATTCTAATGTGGTCCAGGGTGCTGAAATGGAGACCTAGTATGGAAGGGGCCCAGCAACAGAGAGAAAAGGTATGACTATGTGTCTCTTGCTACAAGCGCAGACTCCAGACCCCAAAGGGCAAAACACAACCTGAAAGCATGTGTATAACTCCTTTAAATATGCTTCCCCCAGCCCCATCTCAGCAATAGAAATGATGAGAGCATCATTCCTTACACTTTTGTTTGTAATGGGAAACAATGGAAAAATGGGCCTTTCATTATAAAATCTCATATTACAGAACACTGTAACCAAAATAGGCTGCAATGGCATTCTCATCCTGAAGGCTATGGGCCCTTATATTGGAAATGCCACTTCCAGGGTGGTGAGTACTTGGAATTTCTGCAGAAGCTTCCCTCTAAAGAGTATTTCTGATGCTCTTACTCACTCAATTTTCAACTTTTATGTAGGTTTGAAATTTTTATAATGAACTATTATTGGGAAAGGCAGTGTCCCTCCCCTCACTACCCCAGAGTAATTACTGCCACTGGCATTTGGAATAACACTTCCCTCTCTTTTGTGGTTACAATTGGAAGCATCTCTCAGTATCTCCCTGTGTGAGGTAAGATAAGTATTCTGTCATCTTCTATTAATAGGGAGGGATTCTGAATCACAGGAGAGCTAAGTGATTTTTCTAGCTGCAGAAATAGGAGAAATAAAACTAAGCAGGCTGATGAATACATTATTTTAGGAAGAGGACAATTGTGGTGGTACCGCATCCTTTTTCTGGACAATTGCAATTGCTTCCTAATTGGTTTTCCAGCCCCCAGTTTCTCTCCCTTCCAGTCTACTCGCCCCCTTTGTTACAGAATTATATCCTGAAATCATGTCACACCCCTGTATAAATATCTATGATGGCTTCACCTAAAGAAAAATTCAAAACTTCCTATCATGACATCTAAAGCCCATTACCATGTGGCACTACACTACCTTTCCTGTGTTCTCTGCCAGTCTTTGCCTTCCATACCATTCATCTGCACTGCACTGGTCACACATATCCATCCCTCCAAACCTCAGCTCGTGTCATCTTTCTTTCCCAGAGTGCCAGTCTTCTCCTTTCCCACTGGATGGGGGAGAATAAGAAATCTGCTCCCTGGGGATCTAACTCAAATGCTGCCTCCCTGGCACACTTCCTAGCACCACCTCTACCTTCTGCCTCCCACACTGAGGTAGATGAACCATTTCCTCTTCTTGTTCCCATAGCACTTCCTTTTTTTTTTTTTGAGACGGAGTTTCACTCGTTACCCAGGCTGGAGTGCAACGGCACGATCTCAGCTCAACACAACCTCCGCCTCCTGGGTTCAGCCAATTCTCCTGCCTCAGCCTCCTGAGTAGCTGGGATCATAGCACTTCCTTTATACTGCAAGGACCACATTTGTTACATCACATTCTAGCTACCTGGGCACATGTCTAACCTCCCCAATTAGTCTTTATATATATATATTCAGCAGGGCCCTAACACTCACTCATTTTCATAAGCTCCAGCAGTAATTTCAGTTTTAGATACACAATGGGTGCTCAAGATGCTGCTACCAAGATAACTTCTTCTCTTTGTAGTCTCCCAATTGCTTTGTAAGAGTTTTCACCAGTAAATAACTCAGAGTGCATGCTAGTTCAAGAGCTACATTTGCAAGGGCAAGCAGATTAGTTATGCCTGACACAGCATTTTCCTGTTTCGAAGTTCTGATGTTTGTGCCTAAAGAATACTATTTGGCTTATCTTTTTAGTTACTTCAAGAACATTTCTACAGTTGCTGAACACAGTAGACATGTGAGGAATCTGACTGTCTGGAATGTCTCCTGAAGCTTCTCAAAGTTTGGTCCACCTGTATAAGCCACTGCTGGCTGCTGGACTACAGTATAGTTGCCTGAGCCCATCCCTAGATCTTCTGAATCAGAGTCCCTGTCGGGGAGGCCAGGATATGGACTGACAGCAAATACCTCCAGGTGTTTCTAAACATTTCATTTCTAGACCCACTGGTCTGGGTGGGAAGCTCTTGTGCTCATTGGAAACCTTTGCCTAGGCAAGGGTCTGTTGGGGGAATGATTGTTATGAATGCTTCTAAACCAGTTGTTAGTCCAGGTCACATATCAGAATTCTCTGGGCAGCTTTTGAAAAATACCAATGCCGAGATCCACCTTAAATCTATTAAATCAGAATTACTGGTTATGGGACTTGGGCACCTATATTTTTTAAAAAGCTTTTCTTTTAATCCAGTTTGGCTGTAGAGTACTTGTCAGATTCCTTTGATCAAAACCAGGGGTTAGTGGTTAGAGGTTCCAGATTTAGGTTACCTTCCACACCACATACCATCTCACTCTCACTATAAAAGTAAATCTCACAGCAAATTTCATTAGATTAAATAAAAATATGTTTTAGCAGATAGGTACAGTCATACAAACTGGGAAAAAAGGGCTTCTCTTTGCCATAAGTACTCTACTTAATAGCACATTGCATGAAAGGGCCACACTGAAGGCAGCAATGTTCTAAAGGTGAACCTGCAGGTCATGTCATCTCATGGGGGCAGGATTCTAGGCTCAATGCTAGAAGGTGCACCATGACACAGACAGTTGAGCTGTCTGTGCTCTTGTATCTTGGTCATACAAGGTCCATAGGTCCTGCCACACCTCCTCTACCACATATTGTAAGTGTACCAATTTCAAGAACAGAAATAATTTGCTTTTCATATCCTTTATGCTAAATTTAAAAACCCTCAGGTCATCAAGCTGATTCACATTAAAGAATGCCAGCTAATTATTTCTGCCTAAAGCATTGGAGTACTACAGCTGGTTACACTGAATTACTTAAAAGTAAATTACTGGAGCTTTGGGATAGCTGAATTCATGGAGGTTCCTGGAGTGTGGTGCACCTGGAAAGGGCATGGAAACTGAAGCCCCTTCCCACATGCCTATGCATCTCTTCATCTGTATCCTTTGTAATAGCCTTTATAATAAACTGGTAAATGGGAATACCCTCTTGGCCTTTAAATTCAAATGGAAAACAGCCATAAAGTGGAACAATATGTACCTGAAAAACTCTAGTCAGTATACTGCATCATCAAACTTAATTGGTTAAAGCAAACTTGTTATGTAATAGCACCAGGTCCTAGGAGAAAGAAAAATGCATGAGATGATTACATAAAGTACTTAATACAATGCCTCACACAAAGTTGCTTCTAAATAAATAATTACAAGGAAAATATAAAACAGTTGGAGAATGCAATAATGTTAAACTAAAATTTAAAAGATTTAACAGTTGAATACACAGCACCACCCTAATCAAGATATAGAATATTCCCCTCACTCCAAAAGGGTCCCCCATTCCCCTTTCCAACAAATTACGTGTTTCTTCAGGACAACCACGTGCAGGCAGCATAATGACCTCCCAGATACCCATGCCCTAATGCCTGGAACCTGTGAATATGTTACCTTACATTGCAAAAGAGACTTTGAAGACCTTGAGATGGGTAGACTAACCTGGATTACCTAGGTGGGCCCAGTATAACCTCATGAGTCCTTAAACCTAGAAGAGGAAGACAAAAAGCAGGTCAGAGAGATATAGTGGTAGAACAAGCAACAGAGATTTGAGGCACGAAAACCACGTGACCTGCTGTTGTTGGCTTTGAAGACAGAGGAAGGTGGGCACATGCCAAGGAACACAGGTGGCCTCTAGAAATTGGGAACACAGCAAGCAAACAGGGTCCTACACCCATAAGGACTAAATTCAGCCAACAATCTGAATCATCAAGGAAACAGGTTTTCCCCTAGAGCCTCCAAAAAGAAAAGCAGTCCTGCCGACACCTTGGGTTCAGCCCAGTGAGACTCCTTTGGGACTTACGAACTACAGAGCTGAAAAATAATAAATTTGTGTTAAGGCAAAAACAAAAGTGTATTACCAAACAGAAAATATAACAAAGGACAGTGAAATCTACCAAACAGAAAATATAACAAAAGGACAGTGAAATATCATCATAAAGACTTTTTCCCTGGGAAACTGGTTAGGCAGGGGCATGACCTAGCAAGGGTTTACACTTTTGAGATTTGGGTAAGGAATCTAAAACTTTTGGTGGGTCCAGAAAAACCTGATGGATTTATACCAAAGGATATATACTTATTGGATGTTTAATAAAAATAATCTTGGAATCATGTATGTGCAAAAATTAGTATAGAAACTGTGCTAAGCAGGTGTCTGTTTACTCAAGCCTGGGTATGCTTCTACAGTGTGGCTTCTAGTACAGCCTTTCTCATCCAAGCATGAATGGAAGTGTCCTTCCAGTCATGGGAGAATGGCTCTCATGCCCAGCCCTGACCCTCCCCTTTTTCCCCTCCCTGTATTCTGAAATGCTCCTGCTGGGCATGAAGTCAGAGGGAGAAAGGAAATTCCCAGAGAATGGGACTTCTTATATGCAGGACTCACAATACAAATGTGTGTTTCTTTCAGCTGCCTTGAACCCAGGTCACTGAGTGATGATGGCTGTGTGGCTCAGGCTAGTAGACTTCCAATTCCCCTCTTGCACAACATGCAGTCCATAGGATAGGCTATGAGCCAGCATCAATGGAGCAGGGAAAGTGCCTGCTACTTCAGCAGGTGAGTCCTAGAGTGATGGGGAACTCCTGGTATGCAGTTTTCACTGTCCCCAAACTATCCATGTATCTCAGGCCATTGAGAAACCTCAATTTCTAGGTTGCTTGCACCAGCAACTAAGAGGGGCCATAAAGCAATTGATTCTGTTCTTTGAAGCTTTTTATAAAAATTTGTATGGATTTTTTCTCTCTTCCTGAGAACTAATTAACACTGTAATGTTTTTTGTTATATAATCCCTTTTCAGCAAGGTCAGTAAACATTTATTAAGGGTTGTGGTTGAGCACGGTGGCTTACATCTGTAATCCCAGCACTTTGGGAGGCTGGTGGATCACTTGAGACTAGGAGTTCAAGACCAGCCTGGTCAACACAGTGAAACCCTGTCTCTACTAAAAATACAAAAATTAGCTGGGCATGGTGGTGCATGCCTGTAATCCCAGCTACTCGAGAGGCTGAGGCACAAGAATCGCTTGAACCTGGGAGGTGGAGGTTGCAGTGAGCCGAGATCGTGCCACTGTACTCCAGCTTCATGACAGAGTGAGACTCTGTCGCAAAAAAAAAAAAAAAAAAGAATTGTGTGTGTGTGTAACAACAAAAACAGACAGTAGTAGTCAATGAGTTAGTTGTTTTAGGGCTGTTTCTACCCCCTTTACAAATAAAAATCATTGATTGCAATAGCTCAGTGAAAGAATATTCCCATTTTACAGATAAGGAAACTGAAACATGGAAAGATGAAATGGTTTTCCTCAGAGTCATAAGGCCAGAAAGTAGGTAAGCCAAGATTAGAATCCAGGTTGGTCTGGTTCCACAACTGCTAGTCTTGCCCAGCAAGATTAACCTTAACAAATTATGTAGAAAGTGTCATGGTATACCAGGTTGAATTCATTTAGGGCCGCTCATCAGGTTGGGAGCAGTGTGTACTAAGGAGCTTTGAAGGGACTGAGATTCACATTTGGACTCCAGCATAAATTACCTGACATTTGAGCCCAGGATTCCCCACCTTAAAGTTGTGATAATGGCATGCCTGTTTTGCACGGTTATCACAATGGTTAGATTTAACCTGTACAATGGTTAGTGTAGAATAAGTTGTAGCTACTATGTTGTTATTTCATGTATATCCAGATATAACTTTTGTAATTAACCCACCAATGGCCTTAAGCAGTGCTGTTTAGACTGGAGTTTGGGGCTCCCTAGGGTTCCATTAATATATTCTTGGGGGATCTGGAAGTTCTTAAGTTTGAAAAACTGAGCTAAAGCATTCCTGTATTGTGGACACACACAGTTACTTCCACAGATTTCTGAAGCAAAAATAAGATGGGAGGAAATACTACCTACTTAGAAAAATAATGAGTTCTCTTACACAACAGCTATATGTACTACTCACACCTGCGTAAATAAAGGAACACAAGATGGAGAGAGGTCACCAGAGGCAACACAGCCCACACAAGGAGGCTCAAGGCATATATTCCACATGTAGATGCAACATGGATAATGCCTCGGACACCACACAAATGGTGCTTCATGATAGGACAGGTTTTGGAGAGCTGAATACATATAATCTCTTGCCTCCTTGGCTGGTAATGTAAGCTATGCTTTCCCACTAAGGTTCATTGCTGGGGCTTTGGAAATAGTACAGTGGGAAGCAAGGTACCGTCATCTCCTTTCCAAAAAAAGGTAAATGAGCTTACTCAGAAATGTACAGCAGAAATGCCAACTTCGTGACAGTTTCTTATATATACATTTATATATACTTTTTACATTTCCTGCTTTGTAAAAATAAAGGATAAGAAATAAGAATCAATGAATATTTTCCCAGTGGAAGGGATGGAATTAAAACATCTGAAATAAAAAATTAACACTGCTATCTTTAAATGAATTTCTTTGCTAGGGACTGTCTAACTTTTAAAAAAATATCCTAAAGTTTCTATGGGAGCCTGAATGTAAATTAATTTGTCTTTCATCAGATGATGGGAAACAGAAATGCAAGAAAGCTGATGGAGATCATAATTTTGAAAAGCTTAGCCAAATTGGCTGAGGTCTAAATTTCACAATAGTTCTTATTTTTCTTCAGGTGGGATCATCCTAGCAATGCTCGAATGTGCCATCTCGTTTTAGGCAACCTCTAATCTTCCCGTAGCTATGCCTGTGGGTGAGTGATTCTGGTGTTGCTGACCAGCTACCTTTTCCTTGAGGTCTAACCTAGCCTACCTTTCCCCTTCCCCCGCATTGTTTGGGGAAATCATTAACTTGTGCTCAGTAAGACCTTGAAGCTCCTCATCATGGGACAAGCTGCACGGAGCTTCCACGTGAGAAGCAGTTTGATTGTAGTGTGATTGCAAACCAGGATCTGCAATTCCCAGGGGCTGCCCTCATAGAATTTTAATTGGGGGCTATTTGAAATTCCCTTTAGGTTTCTCTGTGCCCACCCGATCACTGCCCATGAGATATGTTACCTATTGTCAGTTCCTTTGGCCTCTCGTGTTCCTTAGCTGCTACTGTTGTGATACAACTTCTTGGTATCTTTTTTTTTTTTTTGAGACGGAGTTTCGCTCTTGCTATCCAGGCTGGAGTGCAATGGCGCTACCTCGGCTCACCGCAATCTCCGCCTCCTGGGTTCAGGCAATTCTCCTGCCTCAGCCTCCTGAGTAGCTGGGATTACAGGCACGCGCCACCATGCCCAGCTAATTTTTTGTATTTTTTTTTTTTAGTAGAGACGGGGTTTCACCAAATTGACCAGGATGGTCTCGATTTCTTGACCTCGTGATCCACCCGCCTCGGCCTCCCAAAGTGCTGGGATTACAGGCTTGAGCCACCGCGCCCGGCCCTTGGTATCTTTTTAAAGCACTCATCAGGAAGACTTTAGAGTGAGTTTTGTGCACCCCCTATACCTTTTATTTTAAGCCACACTATTTCAAGGGTATCCTTCAAATACAGTTAAATTCACTTTTGAAATTTTAGCTGCACTGAAAGCCATTTCACTTTGAGGGCCTCCCTAGGACCCCTAAATGCATTTGCATTTTAAGTCAAAACTTCCAAAATTCTCATTTGCTGAAACTCTGTGTAACTATTTTCACATGATGTGTTAATAAATGTCATTGTATTCATAGAGATTATTCCAAGAAGATTAAAGGTCATGCTAGCCCACTTGGATCTTGTAAATTGCAAGTGCCCTCAAACTCAGGGAAATTGCAGCAGAATTGGAATGTTTCTCAAATGGCCTAGAAACAGTTTTTTTAAAAAATTATGTTTTTTAACCAACGTTTTTAAGGAAATTTACAGGGGAAAACACAAGGAGTAATTCAAGCACAAAGCATAGGTATTCAGTGTGCACGCGCGCGCGCACACACACACACACACACACACACACACACACACGGAAACCAGAATCTATGAAAGTGACTCTCTGCACTTATGAGAATGGATCACAGATGATCTGCTATCTCCAATCTTTAAACACAGCCCTCTACATATGGTTGATGTCCTCTGAAGGGCACTGTGGCCTCCGGAATTAAGGAAGCCCGTAATTCTTCCAACTACTAGAGTCCTTATCTCCTAAGAGAGCTTTTCCTCAGTGCCTCACAGCAATGGCAGGATCACTACTAACAGCATTCCGTATGCAGGAATGAAGCGGTCATATTTTAAAAGTCATCTTCTGAATACCGACTTCATGCCCTACACATCTCATGTGTCATCTCAGTTGTCTCTAATCCTCACAGTCCTTTGAGGGAGGAATATATATCCCCAATTTTAAACATTTCTGAATTCCTTTTCTTGCTTTGTTTTTCTGGTGTAGCACTTTCACTTTCTAATATATAATTATTAATTTTGTTTATTGGATTGTCCTCATTAGAATGTAAACTTCAGTGAGGCAGGTTATTCTTGTCTGTTTATTCACTGATGGTTTCCTGGAATCTAGACTAAATGAGTGAATGAATGATGTGAGACCCAACTGACTAGTGAGTGGCAGAGGTTTGAACCCAGGCCTAGTGCTATGCTGACACACTAGATGAGCAACGGTACTTGTGAAAATTAGGATCTAGGGCATACTCTAAGGGAGAGAGAATATGCAACATTTACTGAATGGTTGACTGATGAAGAGTTGCTTGCAAAGAAACCCACTGATGTGTTAAAGGAGCTGGGAAAGCAGCCTAACTTTTGATCTTTGACCCCATCCGTGGGGAGGAGGCAACAGAAAACGTGAGGCTGGAGAAAGCCAGAAAGTCAAAATTCAAAATGCTGACCTTGAAATTCTTCACATTTGGGCAGGGAATACCACATGGAGATGAGTATAGTATCCACAGCACTCTGTAATCCGTGTATGTGGGTATCCTTAAGAGTCTGCAAAGGGGTTGGATGCATGTCTTGACACTTTCCGTTGCTACTGTGTGACCCTGGGCAAATTCCTTAATCTTTGTAAATGGGGATAATTTACATGGGTTTTCTGAAGACTGTCCGAAATTATGCACGTAAACACAGAAACAAGATGGTACCTATCATGCCCAGTACACACTGTTGTATCTATTTTATCAGTTTGCTGTGGCTGGTGAACAAGGTGTTTCAAAGGTGACCGTAGGGAGAAGTTAGAAATGTAGCTGGGTCCATTCTGATAACCTTGCTAAAGAATTTTGATCCTGGTCTATAAGAACACCTCCTTTGCTTGACAGCTGTATTAGAACGGATTAAATCGGTTAGGGTAGTACCTTAGAGGGCTTTGCTGCAGATGAGCCAGTCCAGGCGTGCTGTGAGGCAAGCCTCAAAGGGCATCTGTGGAATGCCAAAACCATCCCCCCAACCGAGGCCTTTTCACAGGTTCTCAATTCAGAAGGATAAAAAATTAACTCAAATCAGCTAATAGCACCCCATCACCATTTTAGGACATTTCACCCTACCCATTTTGTCGTCACAGGGAACATGAAGCAGACAGTTTTATATTAATTATGCCGACGTGGAAGACTGCAACTTACAACCGCTAGATGATTTAACTAAGGGCGCACACCTAGATAGAAGCTGGATACATAATTCAAACGACGGTCGTCTCACTCCAGAAGCCCTTTACGCAGCATTTCTAGGACTGAGCGGTCAGAACGTCACTTTAATCAATATGCCAGGAAAGACTGGCATTCCCCTGGCGAAAGAGTTCAGAAGCATGGGTAAAACTAGTTTCGATGTGTCCTCCTGAATCTATAGTCATATTCAGGTAGCTGCACTTTTAAAACAGGCAAAGTGGAAACCCAGCTTCCCTCCTTTTCTCTTCTGTTGGAGGTCCTGGGCTGCACCTCCAACAGGTTTGTTCTTCCCAGTTCCGCTTCAGGACACCCTGCCTCTTCCCTCACTGTCCCCAGGTCCCAATGACTGAAACGTCTTGGTATGGGAACTTCTGTGACAGATCGGGGAGGACAGGGGGAGTCAACTCCAGCGCAGGCCTCCCCCGGCTGAAAACTAGAAGATATCCAGTGAAATACAGGAGTTTAGTTCCAAGGGCTGCCCAAAAAAGGTGCGGAGAGGAGAGCGGCAATCTCCACCTTCGTCGAACACGCTCCTCCCGGGGCGGCCTGCCTGCAGCAGAGCTCCAAAATTGGCAACCCGGGCCTCGCAGCCGCCTTTTTTTAGCCTACATTTCCCAAACCAGGGAAGAGGCGGCTGACTAAAAATGCAAATTGCAGCAGGGGCGTCAGCAGGCATGCCCGTGGGTGCGGGGCGTCGGGCGAGGGGAGACCCCGCGACCTTAGGCGCCCTCGCGGTGCTGGGTGGGCGCAAAGCGCTGCGAGGGACGCTACCCAAAGCCGCACCCCGCCGGGAGGCTGCCCCCGCTTCCGCCTCCCAGGCAGCGGCGGGACAAAGCGCGGCCTCTTTTCCGCCGGGGTTTAGGGAGGGGATGCCGGATTAGGGCCCGCGCCTTCCGGCCGCAGCCCTCCCGCTCCAAGCCGGCCGCTCGCAGGTGGTTTTCCGCTCGGGAGGGTCAGGCCTCGGCACTTTTATATAACAATAGAGCTGTGCGCGCCGGGAACGCGCCTCCCCGCCGCCGCGGCCCCCACCCGGCCACGCCTCCATCCGGCTTCCAGTCCATCCGCCCCGCGGCGCCTGAGTCAAGCGCCGCGAGCTGGCCTGGCCAGCACCTCCGCAAGTTACCTGCTGGCTCTGTAGGGCGGTAGGGACGTTCCCCGCGACTCCTTGAGAGCCAAGGGCCGGGGGGGGGGGGGGTCCCGGCAGGCACTCGTCCTTGCTCCCCCCACCACCCGCCCCAGATCTCTATGGAACCGGGAGTTCCCCGCTCAGCCCCGCACCCGTCCACTGGATCGCGCAAAGCCTCGTGCCTGCCAAGTGGGGAGACGGGGGCAGCGGGGCGGTGGCAGGGAGCGCAGCGCGCAGGCGCGGCTGGTGCTCTAGGGAGTGCCAGGCGCTGGACAAAGGGAGGAGGCGGCGGCAGGAGGGGGCTGGGGAGGCCCCCTCTGGCATGCCTCCCTGCCAACTGTAACCAATAGCGGACCCCCCCCCCCCCCCCCCGCTGAGCCCCCGGAGCCTACAGACCTTGCGGGAGGACTTCCCCACGCCTCGCCAATGGCGGGGACTACCGGCCCGGCCCTGCGTGTCCCAGCACACTTCATCCAGGCAGTCCCGCCAGACCGGCTCCTCCGTCAGAAGCCGAGCTCCTTGCCCAGAAATCATTAACCAACGCGACCCCCCAGCAGGCGGTGATGGTGGTGGGGTCGGGGGAAGAGATTTAGATCTCCAGAACAATGGCTCGTAACTCCCCACGCCGCTGGAGCGGAATACAGTAAAAGTACTGGACTGCCCTAAGAGTTTGTTTCTGTATTCCACATTGTTTTAAAGAAGATAAAATGCTACTTTAAGAAAAAAGGTTTTCTTCTGATTTTCTGGACAACCAAACATTTGTTTGCTTTAAAATGTTTCAACAGAATCCCGGCTTGTTTCGAAAGATGTTGGATTAGCATTTAACACCTCATCGGTCACTAAAGCCCCGTCAGTTCACCAGCCCCAACACAGTCTCGGCTAAAAGAACATCAGAGCAAACAGAGCTGGGGCTTTAAAGCTGGCAAACAAATACCACACACCGCCTAGAGAAGGGGGGTTGGGGCGAGGAGGATTAAAGCGAACTTGGGTCCAAATGAGTTAGAAGGGGATACAAAGAACAAAAAGTCAGCGCAAGTTTTCCTAAAGCTAGCTCCGGAACGCAAGCGTCGCGAACAAGGGCTTTTGTGCATGCTAATTGCGCCATTGGTGCGCAAAAGTTCCGACGCGAAGTGTGAACTCTCAACAGAAGGAAACATGAGACAACTGAAGTGCCCTGGCTTATGTGCCCTGCTCCTCCTCTGCTGCCGCCTCCCCTTCTTTCTCCTTCCTCCCGCCGAGCCCGCTGTTGCAGCTTGTTTGCACTGGGGCTTATCCGGAGCGGAAATTCCTTTCCGTTTTTGTGAATGACAAACTCATTAACAATTCATCAACACAACCTGTTCCAGCCGGCCCGTCCCCACGGCAACAGCCCCTTCCGCAGCTCGCTCATTGGCTGGCCCGGAGAATGTATCCATTGAGACGCTCGCTGTTTGTATCCATTGAGGAGCTGCCTCGCACTGGGGGTGTGCGAGGCTGAGTCCCAGGGATAGTGAGCAAATCGAGTCTTAAATAATCCGAGGAGAAAGACGCCCGGGTAGATTTGAGGTGCAGCCTTGGAGGGAGGGATTAGGAGCCGCTAGACATTTTTTTCCTTCCCTCTCAGTAACACGGAGTCCGAATTAATTGGATTTCATTCACTGGGGAGGAACAAAACTGTCTGGGCAGCTTCATTGAGAGAGATTCATTGACACCAAGAGCCAGCGGCTGCAGCCGGGTGCAGAGAGAACCTCTGGCTTCACTTCTGTCTCGTTTTCCCCAATCGCCAGCCTCGGCTTGGGTGAGGCGAGGCGGACTTAAACCCCGCTCTGAGAGCGGCAGCTTCGCGCGCGGTGCGCTCGGCCTATGCCTGCCCCGAGGGGCGTCTGGTAGGCACCTCGCCCTCTCCCGCAGCTCGACCCCCATGATAGATACGCTCAGACCCGTGCCCTTCGCGTCGGAAATGGCGATCAGCAAGACGGTGGCGTGGCTCAACGAGCAGCTGGAGCTGGGCAACGAGCGGCTGCTGCTGATGGACTGCCGGCCGCAGGAGCTGTACGAGTCGTCGCACATCGAGTCGGCCATCAACGTGGCCATCCCGGGCATCATGCTGCGGCGCCTGCAGAAGGGCAACCTGCCCGTGCGCGCGCTCTTTACGCGCGGCGAGGACCGGGACCGCTTCACCCGGCGCTGCGGCACCGACACAGTAGTGCTCTACGACGAGAGCAGCAGCGACTGGAACGAGAATACGGGCGGCGAGTCGGTACTGGGGCTGCTGCTCAAGAAGCTCAAGGACGAGGGCTGCCGGGCGTTCTACCTGGAAGGTACGCGCCCGGGGAACTCAGCTTGCGGGACAGGGCGCAGGGCTGCGGGCCGGGCGCGTGGACTAAAAATGCCTCTGCCGCTGGCGCTTCAGAGCCGCGCAGCTTGCCCAGGGGCCGGCAGCGGCGAGGTAGGGGCCGCGACCCGCGCGTTCCGCACCGGAGAACCGGGCAGGGGCAGAATCCACCCGCTTCCGGCCGCGGTTACCGGCCGTTTCTTTCTAACGGGTTCTGAGCCCTTCTTACCCAGAACATCCTCTACCATCACCCTGTTTTCTATCGTTCGATTTTGAATTAAGATTTGCAGGACCGGAGAGGTTGTTGGGGGTGCAGATTGGCACATCCTAGTTTCTCAAAATATTCCCAAAAGTTGCCATTTTGTATATTTCCGGATTTAAACGAATAAGGGTTCCCTGGCGAGGCGGGCCCGTTCGTTCCATTCCCAAGGGTGCACATTTAAAGTGTGTTTCTCTTATTATGTATGTCGGGGGGGTTTGTAGGGTGCTTGTGGTGTTTCTTACGCCGGGGTGGTTCTTACAAGCTGTGAAAACTACTACGACTTCTCGGGTTACACGATTGCTTTTCTCGTTCTGGCAGGTGGCTTCAGTAAGTTCCAAGCCGAGTTCGCCCTGCATTGCGAGACCAATCTAGACGGTTCGTGTAGCAGCAGCTCGCCGCCGTTACCAGTGCTGGGGCTCGGGGGCCTGCGTATCAGCTCTGACTCTTCCTCGGACATTGAGTCTGACCTTGACCGAGACCCCAATAGTGCAACAGACTCGGATGGTAGCCCACTGTCCAACAGCCAGCCTTCCTTCCCAGTGGAGATCTTGCCCTTCCTCTACTTGGGCTGTGCCAAAGACTCCACCAACTTGGACGTGTTGGAGGAATTCGGCATCAAATACATCTTGAATGTCACCCCCAATTTGCCGAATCTCTTTGAAAACGCAGGAGAGTTTAAATACAAGCAAATCCCCATCTCGGATCACTGGAGCCAAAACCTGTCCCAGTTTTTCCCTGAGGCCATTTCTTTCATAGGTGAGACTAATTAGTAGTCGTTGCTCTGACATTTAAATGCAAAATTCCCAGCCATTCATAGAGTTTAAGCTGTTAATCGTTCTTTCTGCTTGCTAATTTGTCAGACTAAAGGTCTCTAATGTTTCTAGAGCGTCCTTAATTCTGTATTATTTTCTTGCTAAGGGAAGAAAACCTGCCTTTTGACATGGATGCAGATCACCTATTTGAAATGCTGTTTCTTGAATCTTTGAATTCAGTCATTTGACGGGGGTTGGGATCGTTCATAATTGGAAAACAGATTTTTCCCACAGTCTTTGGACTCAGGGGAAGGGTCAAATAGAAGTACTCACTATACACAGGAATTCCAGCATTGCTTTATAATTTAAAAACCTAGGAGTTATATTAGGACGTCAAGTTAGTTGTTGGAAAGCAGTATGAATGCTGAGTGTTACCCAGTTGAATGATACTGTGATACTGGTAACAGTGAGACAGTGGGTAACCTGAGCCCAGCAGGAAGAACTGTGGGCTGGAAGCCTGGGAGAAGTGAATCTCTAGGCATTGTAATGCACTTCCTATTACAAAGGAACTCATTTTCAAGCCATGTCGACATCCTGTTCCTCCTAATGGGCTGTCCCCTGTGACTTCCCTCTCTCTTTTAAAATGCCTGAATACCTCCATTGTTAACTGCACAACATTTGGAGAATAATTTAATAGACCCTTGCAGTCTGCTTGTCTGTATAAAAGGCATTCACGAACATATTGCAGGGTTTCTGGTATTCACATGCTGAGGCAAAGAATGCACCCATTAAGGAGTTTTTTGTTGGCAGAAACTTAATACAAAAGCTCTCTTTTTAGAAAACATCTGAAATATGTAATTGTGTCCACTGTACATGTTTTATTTCAGTGATACATTTTCCATTGCCCGTATGGCTCAACAGCCACACACAATTATTATTATTATTAAAGTTCAGTTTTTAGACTGATCATTCACAAAGTATATTTTCAATACACTGAGATCTTGCTTTTCTTTTTGTGTTCACAGATGAAGCCCGGGGCAAGAACTGTGGTGTCTTGGTACATTGCTTGGCTGGCATTAGCCGCTCAGTCACTGTGACTGTGGCTTACCTTATGCAGAAGCTCAATCTGTCGATGAATGATGCCTATGACATTGTCAAGATGAAGAAATCCAACATATCCCCTAACTTCAACTTCATGGGTCAGCTGCTGGACTTTGAGAGGACGCTGGGACTCAGTAGCCCCTGTGACAACCGGGTTCCAGCACAGCAGCTGTATTTTACCACCCCTTCCAACCAGAATGTCTACCAGGTGGACTCCCTGCAATCCACGTGAAAGACCCCACACCCCTCCTTGCTGGAATGTGTCTGGTCCTTCAGCAGTTTCTCTTGGCAGCATCAGCTGGGCTGCTTTCTTTGTGTGTGGCCCCAGGTATCAAAATGACACCAGCTGTCTGTACTAGACAAGGTTACCAAGTGTGGAATTGGTTAATACTAACAGAGAGATTTGCTCCATTCTCTTTGGAATAACAGGACAAGCTGTATAGATACAGGCAGTAGGTTTGCTCTGTACCCATGTGTACAGCCTACCCATGCAGGGACTGGGATTCGAGGACTTCCAGGTTTATAGGGTAGGACCAAATGGTAGGGTAGGAGCATGTGTTCTTTAGGGCCTTGTAAGGCCTTTCCTTTTGCATCTGGAACTGACTATATAATTGTCTTCAATGAAGACTAATTCAATTTTGCATATAGAGGAGCCAAAGAGAGATTTCAGCTCTGTATTTGTGGTATCAGTTTGGAAAATAAAAAATCTGATACTCAATTTGATTACTGTAAATATTTTATCTTAAATCACTTGATAGTGTTTGTTTGAATTATTTGTTTTTTCCTTTGATGGGCTTAAAAGAAATTATCCAAAGGGAGAAAGAGCAGTATGCCACTTCTTAAAAGAAGAAAGAAAGAAAATTGTGCTCTTTTCTAATCCAAAGGGTATATTTGCAGCATGCTTGACTTTACCAATTCTGATGACATCGTTATGGACACTATTATTGCTAAGACCTTGTTATGGTGAAATCTTTAGTCTTTTTCATGTGTCTTCCTCATGATTTTTTTCTCTTTATGTAGTTTGATTATGCCTTACCTTTGTAAATATTTTGGCTTGTGTTGTCTCAAAGGGGATAATCTTGGAAACACACCAAATCATGGGCTC